TAAAAAAAAAAAAAAAAAAAAAAAAAAAAGATTAAACAGAATTATCACGATTCAGTAGTATCCCCCTCAAATAATGGAAAACAAATATCCAACAAATACTTGCACATGAATGGTTACATAAGCACTATTCACAACAGCTGAAAGGTACAAAAAAACCAAATACATATCCATCAATAGGTAAATGAATAAGCAAAATGTGGTATGTCCACATAGTGGAGTATTTTGCAGCCATTAAAAAAAAAAATGAAGTACTGATACATGCTACATGGAATAATCTTGAAAACATGTTCAGTGAAAGAGGCCAGACAAAAGATTACATATTATATATCTGCATTTGTATGAAATACCTAAAATAGGTAAATCCATAGACACAAAAAGCAAAGCCAAGAGAGGGGCTAATGGAGAGTCACCGCACTTAATGGGAACAGGGCTTTCATTAGGAGCAGTGGAAATGTTTTGGAATTTGATACAAGTTGGTATGTGTCAAACACTGTGGCTGCACTAAATGCCACTGAGTTACTTTTAAAAAAATGGTTACTATGTAAATTTCACTTAAAAAAAAAGCTTAGAAATTCATAGAATTGTTCTTAAACTTAATTTTATTTAGTAATAATACATAATTTAAGCCACTGACTAAATAATTATTGTAATTATTTTTAAAATGGCACATGTAGCTGGGCATGGTGGTGCATGCCTATAATCTCAGCACTTGGGAGGCAGAGGCAGGATGATTGCCACAAGGACAGCCTGGGCTACATAAGACCCTATTTCAAAAAAAACAAAGACAAAACACTCAAATATAGCACAGGTAAAAAGTGGAACTGAACAATTTAAAAATCTTAGCAAATAAAAGGTTCAAATATCTCATTTTTGATACATGTGAATATACACAATGAAAAGTAGGTACCAAGTAAGTCTGGAAAAGAAACATTTTCCCAAATCTGTCCATCATAATTATCATATAGTATTTGAGACGTTACCAAGCCACGTTCCTGACAAAGGGTTTCTATGATTAATTAATTTTGAGATACAAAGTGTTCTTTGGATAAAACAGGGTGAAAAAAAAACTGTCTTCATTTATGAAACTTTTAAAGTCACTTGATGTAAGTGGTAAAAAAAGAGACAAAGAGATTTAACACTAACTCAGTAATTCCTAATGCTAAACAGGACTATACAATTCCAAGTGCCTGATGTCACTGTGCCCAAGCCATTTACTTACTTACTTAACTTACTTAATTACTTACTTACTTACTTATTTATTTATTTATTTATTGAGACAGGGTCTCACTATATACTTGAGACTGACCAGGAACGCACTATCTAGCCCAGGCTGGTTTTCAAATGCACAGTGATCCTCCTGGTTCAGCCTCCCAAGTGCTGGGATTACAGGAGCGTGTCACCATGCCCAGCTGCCCAAGCCTTTTAGAGATCACATTAAAAAGCAATCCAGTAAATACTTATATTGTATGAATAAACATATAAATACAACACAGAAGAAAATAAAACTTATGAGTGGGTGCTTATACACTTTTCAGTGGTGTCCTCATTTAGATGTAAAGAGTGCTTCACATTACAAATGTGATGACATATTCTAAAAGGTTAGTGCAGGACCAGGGATTTAGCTCAGTAGTTCCACTGCCTGCCTCACAAGCCCAAGGTCCTGAGTTCGATCCCTGGTACCAAAAAATAAAATAAAATAAAAGGCTAGATCAAAAAGTAGTTCTACTGATTACAAAGACATAGATGTAAAAGATGCAAACAAAGAACTGAAAATTTTGAGATGTTAAAAAAAATTATTTCCTCCTAAGTTAGTATATAATTTCTCATAATGTAACTGTAAATATATTCAAGAAATCAAATCAATTTGAGATTTTTTTTTATGGTACCAGAGATGAACTCAGGACCTTGAGCTTGCTAGGCAGGTGGTGGCACCACTGAGTTAAAGCCCCAGCCCTCCATTTGAGATCTTAATGGGAAAATGGGAGATAATTTTATATTCCAAGATTATCAGTGTGTGTCAGAAATGCAATTCTGCTACAAAGTGATTAGATAAAATAGTAATTATTTTGGAGTTGTGATTTTAATTTTCTCTACATTTCTTTTATGTTTCCGACTTTTCCTCTCTCTATATATAACCTTGATTTATAAGCCAGTAAAATCAAAAGGTCTAAAACTTACATGGCACAGGATCATAGAATCTTTGCTCTGAAAGAGGCCAACTGTCTCTCAGTTTAGCACTCTGTCAAATCAGAGTAAACCTATCTTTGATAATCTAGTATTATCCCGCTGTCTCCTGAATACTTCCAAGTACACAAATCAGCATATTGTGAAAATAACTTGTTTCATTGTTAACTGAAAGTTTCATCATTAATCTGTCAGTACAGTACTTTTATTCAATTTCTGTAATAGAGACAAGTTTATAAGTCCAAATAGGTACAGTTCTCTAATTTCCTGCTATTAGTTTCAATTTCATAATCTGAAGAACACAGGCTACTCTTTTTATAAGACTGTCCTTGAGGTATTTATGACAGCTATAAAGAGTATATTAATCTCTCTTCTAGCTCTATGTTCAATTCTGCTTTTATATATTCCCTACCCAACATTCACTTTTATTCTTAAATGGAGTATAAAGGGCCCCAAACAACATTTCAAATGGTTTCTGATCAGCTTTAAAGTTAGAATAAATAGTCCCAGGATATCAGACATTCTATGAAATGTAGTTTAAGGCTGTATGAGCACTGCCTGGCGTGGTGGCGTGTGCCTGTAATCCCAGCACTCAGGAGGCTGAGGCAGAAGGATCGCTGTGAGTTCGAGACCAGCCTGGGCTACACAGTGAGTTCCAGGTCAGTCATAACTACATTAGTGAGACCCTGTCCCAAAAAACCAAACACACACACACACACACACACACACAAAGGCCTACATGAGCACTGCTAGCAGTTACTATTGACAGCTTAAGTTTATAATCAACTACACTATACAAATAAGTCTATTTTGCTTTCATTTCTACTGCTTAGCCACATTCAATTTTAGAAAAGTTTACAGGAAAAAGCATTCAAAATATAAGAGAATGTAATTAGAATAAACAAAATGTATTTCTATTTGGTCCTAAAAGCCTCTCCCTCTACTTCTACATTTTCTAGCCTGACTAAGCTTACAACACAATCAACATACCCACTACTTATGTTTTATTTCGTCTGTAGGAAATTATACACTTTTTATGCTCAGTTAAGAAGAAAATAATATCATTAAGGGCACACAATTAAATGAATAAATCACTTGGGTTCTTAATCAGGGAGAAAGGAAAAGTAAACATAGAAAGGGTGAAGACATAATGACTACCCTTAAGATTTTAGGAAACCACCAATGAACACACAGACTTAGTTTTCCTTTTCATTTCTTCAGCAACTGCAACTATACCAAGTCCCAGTGAGGATGGGAATTCCTAAACCTGTATTTCTTTTATTTCTTTACTTATATGTTCTTAGAAAAGCTTTAATAGACTAGTTTTCCCTCTGTTTATAAGGTAATTGGATTGATATAAATACACTCACCAACTTATTTCTAGATTGCAAAAACAATGGTAATATTTTGTTTCAGATTCAAACCTAGGGTTATACTGTAATTACTGTAGCCTTATTAATGATAAACCTCACTCACAGAAATCCCTAAATTTCTGCTAAGACAAACTTTATTAAAATCTGCAAAAAAAATTAGAGAAACTATGCCTATCTGAATACTTTTATCTGCCAATATTTTCTTAAATACCATGCAAGATTGGCCTAATGCTTTGGGGACTGCACGTCCTACCTCCTGAAGTACTATGTTCACTGCTGTCCTCCCTAAATGTTCATTAATAAGTATGTCAATGCACATTCACATGTGAGTTTCCCAGAAATGGTAGAAGAGCTACATATTCAGAACTACCTTGAGTGGTAAAGTTGAAGAGTGCAGGTGTGTCTCGCCCATTCGGTAATTTGACATTTGGGTCCCGTAATTCATCAAAAAATGAATGTGCACAAGCTTCCAGTGGTGTGAGTCGGGCAGTTGGTGTATACTCCAGCAGACGGCTACACAGTGCAATTGCCTCTGGTGGAGTTCGGGGTCGGAAGACCTGAAGTACAAGGAAAGGAAAAGAACATTAATGTTTTATCATAAAAACCTAAGCAAATAACCCTGTGAGTACTTCATTAATTTCCATCATGTATAAAAATAGTTTCATTTGGGAAAGGAGACTTCTAGAACAAAAAGAGTTAACTTCATGTGATTCACCACATTGGGGTAAAAAGTAATTAAAGACTATGTGAGAAATGCTTAGAGAAAAATCTACACATGCTAATCATAAAAGCAGTACAAACATGCATATAAAATAGGACAGGCACATGACAAAGGCCCAGGTCTGGAGGCAAGCACAACTTGAAGAATATAAAAAACATTAAAGTTTAGACTGTTGTGGCACTAAATAAAAGACTGACTCTCTGGCATTATTTGTAACAGAACAATTATTAGTAATGAATGGCAATGTTCAAATTTGGCAAATATGGTAATTAATATTTTTTGGAAAAAGGTGTTATTCTAGGTCTACAAATGCAAACGCTTCTTAATAAGCAGAACCTACCATCATTTGAAGACGTTCTTGAGCACCTAGACTCAACAAAATATCTGTCATTGTTCTCTCAAGTAGCTGTTATCATTAATGTGACCAGGTCACTCATTTTTGAGTGAAATCAAGTGAAGGCTATATTACAGTAAAGTATAATTAAACAAATTTGCTTAAAGGAATAGATAGCTTTCTAGTCATCTGTGTCTTAAAAGGAATCAATACACAGAACTATGCAAATATACTTTATTCTAGATTATGCTAAAGAAATAAAAGGGGAAAATAGAAACAAACAAATAGATGGGCAAAGAGTCTTCAATATTAAAGAAAAGTGAGACATCCCTTAATAAAATAAAGGTGTGGTAATGAAGGTGGACAGACACAAAGGGAAGCAAACAGACATAAATGGAGGGGAAGGATCGTAAATGAGGAAGGACATGCAGACTTGGATAAAGACAAAGGTCTTGGGGAGACTAAGGTTCCCTCACAGCATACAGGTGAAGGCAGGAGAACTGGTCACAACTACCGTTCATTAGGTATTTACAAGACCATGAGTGGTTTCTATAAAAACTGAAAACTGTTTTAAAAAAACACACGCACAGTTCATTATTAAAAAACATTATTTTCCATGGAAACTGAGAAACTGGGTTTGAGTAGGATTGTAATTTATTTCAGAACCTAATAATCTTAGTCAATTTATTGGCTATATTAGAAAGCCCTTTGTAAGATCAAAAATCTGCCTTGTCTTCATGCTTTTGAGTACTCTTAGTTGAGAAACTTTATTATTTTATTTAAAATGCTTAGATCTTCCTGTATTTTTAGTCATTTCTTCCTCTCTTGCTTTCAAGGTCCATAATCAAATCCAGAATGCAAAAAGAAAATAGTCAGTGGGAAAACTAAGAAAATTGATCATAAAAGCATTACACGCTACCAGTATTTTATTCTTGGGGACAGTCTGCGTCTACTTGGCATTATATTAATTTATGTGCTAACTAATCCAATATGCTTAAGCACCAATAATGGTACCGCATAAGTAGAATTAAAAATAGTATCACATTAAAAATGAGTATTTCCTACTAAAATTCCAAATAGGGTTAGCTAGATGGTGAGTTATTTTAAATAAAAATTTTCATATTAATGAAGATTTCTGTGTTAAAGGTATTAATAAACCAGTATTGCAATCTTAAAAAGACTCCCATGTCTTTTTGTGTTTTACTGGCTATTATCGATCATGCAGTTTGGCATAAGATTTGTTTATTTTGTCAGAAATCCTAATTCAAGGAGTCAGAGTTAAAAACTATGAAGAAAAGAACTAATTCCAAGAACCTACATTAAAATCAAGATTTAATCTGCCTTTAAAAACCGTATCTGATGCTACTTTAAACCCTTGAAGAGCTCTCTTGATGAGAAAAGCCTTTGTTCAGTACTTCGTGGATAAAGGTTAAGTGGAAAATTATGTGGGGTTAAAACTCAGCATCTTCAACAGTTTAGATTTCTGATAATAATACAGGGTGTAGTAGCATGGAACTTTCAAAAATAAAAGTCCAAATTAGAAACTAGCTCATCTGAATTATCTCTAGCTAAAGAGAAGGATACCAACAACTCCTGAAATACTGGTTTTAGTATAGAAGTTTCTGTAGTCACATTATTTCTTGCTCATTGAAATTGTTTAACATCCAGAATCTTTGGTTTTATAGATCTTCATCAATATTTATTCTTGTAAGAATAATTTTAAAAACCCCACCATTCCTAAACTTCAATCTAGATGTCAAGGATCACCCAGGAGATTGACAATTTAAATATACCCCAAAACCTATACCATACAATTAATGAAAACATAGAACACAGCTACCTACACTGTTTTTACTACTCCATTTCAAGAATTATTTAAATTTTCACAAAATGTTTACCCCCAAGTTTTACAGACCTGCCCTGAAATTTTGGGAAAAAAAATTAAGTACATACCCGTACTCCTGAGGTGAAATGTCCTGTTCCTGACGAATCCTAAAGATGATAATGCAGTGAAATAATCCAAACAGGGAAAGTCAATCCAAAAGAGAATAGTCCAGCAAGGAAAAATATATCCAATGTTATAAGAAATCCATGGTGTAGGGGGACATAGAAAATGTTTATACAATTATAAACTTTAAACATCAGTAGCAAGTCCAAAATTTAAAAATTATTTCACCACAGTGTATGCCAAAAAAAATTTTGATTGTGCAATGGTGAGGCACAGTAAAGAAACATTTTAATTTGTTTATTATGTTCCAACGCCAGTGTGCTTATTAAAAAAATACAAAACCAAAAAAAGTTAAATCAAAATGAAATCTAGAAGTAAAGTTCCCAAAATAAAGTGGTCTTCTATGACCTGGATTCAACATCCATAGACATGGCTGGGAGGGGGCATATTAGCCTGCTTTTAAAGACATAGGTTTCCCAATATATTAATTTTTCACAATTAATATGTCCCAGTTACATAGTATAAACATTTTTTTGCTATAGAATTAGTGATGAGAGAAACATATTATATATTTAATTTGTGTAACTATATATTTCAAGCTAGATATTTTCAATTTGTGTGAGCTAAGAATGATTAGGCCACCGCGGATTATTCTCCATTTTTGGATTGACTTCCCTGCTAAAAGATGTTTATTTGTTGATATTCTCATTATCTTAGGACTCTTCAGGAAACTGACATATGACATCAGGAGTGCGGGTATAAACTTACTTTTTCTATATGGGCTTTGCCCCCTCATACCCTTGCACCCATCACTGAGGAAAAGTATAGAACATTCCTTTTGGAAAAATTCACTGAAAAAAGACCTATATTTTTTAGCACTACAAATTCAACACAGTTTCATCTGCAAATATGCCCAATTCACCCACCAAAAGCTAAACAAAAATTTATACAATAAACAATACAATTAAGGGACAGTCACAGTTACAGGTGACATGCATAGTAATGTACACCAACACCTAGGCACAACGGAGCCAAATATGTGAGGGAGGTGGCAGGGTCTATTATGTCTAGGTATTGAGAACAACAACAACAAAAAAAACAAAACGCATAACTCACCGATAGCTGTGAACTCCCTTGGGTATTCTAAGAGAATGTAACATTCTTTAGGATAGTTTCCAGTGGGAGAATTAAATATTTTACAAAAGTAAATAATCCGCGGATTACTTTTAGTCTGCAAACTAAGATTTAGTATATGGATCAAAATCCGGCCCATCAGAATAAAAATTCTCAGAATACAATCAGTTGGACAAAAATAGAAAACCATACTAAAAGACCTGACAGCACAAAGTAAGATTCAACTGGGCCAACTAACAATTAGTGAGCAGACTAAATATGGCCAGCCAAGTATGCAGCAAGGCCATGGAAATCCCAAAACACCCCTTTTAAAAACTAAAAGCAAAGGGCAAAAGAAAA